TGAATGTTTAGGGCATTAAGGCTTTATGCTAGGTCCCCTTCCTCTCCCTGTTATTCTTTTTCGTTTTTTAGATCACCGTGGTTGTACGGCATTAAAGCATTATTTCGTATGACTGCTGTTGATGATGCTGATGATGACAACGGTGATGAATTTATGCGCACCGAATACTCGCATGGCTAGACAGCGGCACACAGTTTCTCCTTAGTATCCGGAACTTATGATAACCTATACTTTTGTAAACAAATCACAGGCCCATTTGACACCCATTTCCACGTGCGGACAGATACTTTGCCACTGAACCGCTAGTGTCTAGTCTTGCTATCCAGACAAGGTAAGCAGAACGAGCGGCCAATTATGACACCTCCAGACGAAATCTAAGCCATCTGTGCGATACGATGGTAGACTTTCATGACGTTTCTAGACGAAATCTCAGTCCGTCGTGCTATTGGTGGTTGCCTTTCACAGGTGCTAGAATGCCTGGGGACCACACAAACGCGACCGCCATTGCCTTAGGTGAGTACGATACACAGTTTAAGACAAGAAATATAGGAAAGACGCTGGGGACGTTTTCGACAGGTTCTCATAGATAAGTGGTCCCAATAGCAGGTTAGTCTATATCTTAATCGAGCCCGGGTACTCTATTTTATCATTGCCTACGTAAAGACGTATGCTTTATGCAACTCCTCCGACAACCCTTTTGTTCATCTCTGTAATTTACTGTCGGTGACACTGCCCCATACTATGCTACCGACCAAGACACTCGCAATTAACTATCTCTGACAATTACTTTATTCCGTGGTATTCCGTGTAGTTGAAGTACTTCATAAATATGATTGGTTGTCGTTCTGCTCCATAGTATTAGGTTTTTCTCCTTTCCACCAGGGTATTTGGAAGTGCACTCGACAGCGATACTGACAGAAATAAACTTGTTCGCCACAACGAAGCTATCAGGCAACACACGCTTGCCGATTTGAAGATTGCTAAGGTTAGTTTATGGTTCTCGAGATGTGGCGTACGGTTCCTCATTTTTTGCCACTAGATTCGCCTCCCATTTCGCCTTCCATCATTAATCTTTTTGTTGCAGTGACTTGTTTCGACGGCTCTTATGAGGAGATAGGTTGCGCATTTGTGTAGTCCTGGCTATCGATATTGGTGCTGAGTTGACGGTCAGTTGGCCTCTCCATAGTAACTTCGTCGGCACCTTCTTTGATCGATTAATTCAAACACAGGATGCTTGCGCTTTTTCCTCTCATCTTCTCGCTTTCACTTCGTTCGCGTGTGCAGGGCTCACACCGACTGTGTTTGCCACACACAGTACGCGAACTAGCCCATTGCATACACTGTTGTGCGATTGTGCATTCTTTCATGGACACCACTGATCGATCGACACTACCAATTTGTTTCTTGCCATAATGTGCATATTCTGGCCTACTCTTACTCATGCACTTTGTTTGCGCAATATTATTGGTCGACATCCGTTTTTCCTTTTTGACCTTTATTATTTATTGTTTCCAGTTCCATCGTTGCGAGCCACACCATTTCCACGCCTTACTGTGTGATTCTCGTTTATACCGGTATCTGTGCGGTGTTTCACTTCCCTCTTCACTTACTTAATCACAGATTTCTACTGATTACGTCTACGTAGGATGCAGCGAATGCCCTGCGGCTGCGATATGCTCCAAACTTTGGCGCGTCCATTGTCCATCTAACCCTATACCGAGTGTTTTCCCACTACCAAAACTCACTCATCTATACCGAAAATGTTGTGTGTGTGTGTGTATGTGTACGCACAGTTATGGAGTTATTGTCATTCACCTGAACTTACAGTGGTAGGAGAAAGCTCAGCTGAACCTTTGGCTTTATTCTTCTACTGCTGTCTTAATGCAACTTACGTACCCGACATTTGGAAACACGGGATGATAATTCCAATTACAAGGACGGTGGTCGTTCCGACCCAATCAACTACCGTCCTGTTATCCTTATACCTGTGCTTTCGGAGCTCATAGAGCCATTGTTACCAATGTATTAACGATCTGCTTAGAGGAACAGGAACTGCATGGCTTCTGACAATATCCATCGTGCACTACTAATCTAATGCTAGGCGGTTCACTTGGACCGAAGCAACAGACAATGGCAAGTACTTGGTGTAGTTTTTCTCGAATTTTCAACGGTATTCGATCGGTTAGACCATGATATCAATTTTTTAAATATCCAGTGCTTCGACATTAGTGATCCTTCCCTAGAATGGGTCAGAAGCTTTCTCCTCTACCGGCACACGGAGGTAAGAGTGCTTGTGTCTGTTGCCGGCAAACCGCAATGGTTTCGCCATTAGAGAACCTGTCTATGCACGCGACTACTGGGATGCCCACTCACCCTGAACCGAAGCAACATTGACGCTCAACCGTCTCTGTGTTTGATAACACGCGTTCGTCACTGCAGCCATCTTCGACCACAACGCGTTCAGGTTACACTACAGGGAATCAGTTGTCCCCGCATTTGCTACTGCATATGTGTTTGGCGCATTCGAGATCACAGAAGAAAGCCACTACCAGAGAGTGGCACCCAACCAACACGGAAGTCGCACTATCCTTGTTGCCGGCCGGGACGTGTCCGCAGAGGGTCAAAAGCACTGCAGGTGAACATCATCAGATGTGGCCGAGCTCGCATAGCTCCATGAAACTTGCTCAGGTTTCACGGGGCTCACCTCAGACATGCAGTTGCCAAGCGGTGACTCAGACTGCGCGAGCAACAACCCAGCCGCCCCCAGGGCATCGATGCCAAGCCACAGTGAACCAACTGAGCTCTGTCCCGGACAGGGATGCATCTACTGTGCAAGCTGCAATCAACCCACCGAACTCTCATGACATTTGTATCTATCGCGTCGAATCACAGTGAACCACCTGAGCTCCACAGTTGCTGCGGCAGTTACCACACAACTCCACGGGGCACTGCCACTGAGTGGTAACTCATGTGTCTTGCTTATGCATTACACTGCTATTCTGTTGTGCTATACATATGAGTATCTAAAAGGCATGCTTCGCCTTGGCTTAGTCAGTAAAAGGAATTGTTAACAGCCAGTCTTTCTCGTTGTGTCTCGGTGCAGTCACTCTAGATTACGCGTTTTTCCTCTCCACTCCCAGCTCGCGTGTACATCTGGCGTCTAAGTCACTTTAGCTCGCAACGTTCCGAATTCGATTGGATGCGCTGCGCGCGTGGGGTACTATCTTAGAGGAATGTTTGTTCGTTTAGACTAAGAGTGGATACAACTAAGAAGCGTTATAACAGGATCCCTGTCAGACCCCATCCAAATCGAATGCGGAGTACCAAAAGGATCGGTACTGGGACTACGGTTGTTCTTGACTTATATCAACGATATAACACCTCATAAATTCGAACTGTCTATACCGATGATATCAGGGTATGGAGATCGATCACTACACCAGATGATCTCACGCTACCTAAAGCCGATCTGGATAGGGTTTATGGAAGGTCAATCCAGAATCTACCTCCGTGCGATGTGAAAACATGTAGAGCAGTGTACCCACGCCAGCCGGCTGGTCTACTGATATAAAGTGGGCAACCAGGAGTTTCAAACATCATCCAGCGAAATTGATCTGGGCGTTTTGATTCCGAGCGACCTAAGTTGTTTTTTATCAGACTTATAATGTATCAAGACGGAGCATTCAAACCGTGGGCCTCCTGCGGCGTGTATTCGGGAGCTACGACCCGTCGACTTTTCAGCAGCGTCTCAGCGCGTACATACGTCCACACGTGGAATATGCAATATTGAAGATAGATTTCACTGCTTTGGAGATATCTCAACGCCGGTCAAGCAAGAGCGTCAAGATCTTGCGCCATTTACCCTACAAACGGAGACTGAAAGAGCTCGGGATCTTCAGTGGTCAATATCGACCATTTCGTGGGTACATTGTTGTGACTTGTCGGATTCTGAGGAGCGCAAAACACATGCCACCAGCATAGTCACAACAGCAATCTGTGAGACCGCCATCTTAAGCTGACTGAGCAGTATATTCGTTTGGAATGCCGTCGTAATTTCTTTCCCGTACGTGTTTGCCAAGTATGTAATGCCATTCCGGTTTCCGTCATCTGTACATCCACGCTAGTATAGTTCAAAGCGTGGGTTGACCGCGTACCCCTTTCTCTGCACCATCTCACATGATTCATTGCCCACTGCCAAACACGAGTGTCTGCTAGAGGTTTCACTGCCGTCCAGCTCCCAGCATACGTTGTACCTTTTGATCTTCTGCACATATTCATACGACAGCCTATACAAGCGTCTCATTTGTCATCATTTCTCATGGATTTGCAATGGATTAACAGTTTTTATTACGTATAGTTTTGTGAGTTCACCGGTCTGATCTTATTTTTATTGACATCTTTCTATATTCTGCGATCTTCACCCTGACCATTCTACGGGATATGTTAAGTCTTAGCTTTTTTACGGGTATTGAATCACTGTTCTACCGTACTTTCATCCTGTATAGGCTTGCACGCGTCTTCATCACTCCGACCTGTCCGCATCAACCGTAATCCCATCTGGTGACCCAGTTTTTCCACACTTCATCCTAGGAGATCGACCCGGAAATTATTCAGATTGCATACTCCCTTCGTCTTGCTTCATTGTCGGACCTCCCTACTCCCGCGTGGCTTGAACATATCCTTAGTGCACACATAATGGTCTCAGTTTACTTTGCTTTGTGGCCGCCTAATCACATCAACTATGAACAACGACTCCACAGCCACTGTACACTAGCCAGCTATGCGCCTCATTGCTCAACAACCCATTAGTATTGACATCACCTCTATGTGACGCACCTCTCTGTCGAAGATGAGAGGGCTGATGAGATATGATAGTTGAATCACAGTAGCTGCTCCCATTTTACTTTGAACACACATCCGTTCCTCACTCATGCACCCTTTCTTATTTCGCTCTATTTTCTCTTCAGAATATCTGCCCTACCTATTTCCCTCCGGATTACGGCATATTCAATCGGTTTGTTGAGATGTATCACAACGCGATCGGAGCTCATGTGAGCTACATCTTTCCTTGGATTTAAACTGAGATTTCTAGGTTGAAGCAATGGTTACGGAGGGCCTGACGGACACCCAAATCGTCCAACTGCTAGGATGGATTAATTCCTACCAGTAAGCATGTTCCACTCTTTCTCTTAATATGTTCTCCTTTATGGTACGGAGGAATTCATGAAAGAGCCGGCCTTGGACATTGATTTCAGTGCTCTGACTCTACAGTATCCGATTAATCTGCTACCGGAACAACAATTGGATTCTCTGCGAGAGCAGTGAGTCACGCAACCACGTTGTTTGACAATCTCCAATGTCTTTCTAAATCTTCGGCATTATCCTCCGACCTATCCACAGGCTTTTGCCAAACTGCGATTGACCTCTTTTTTTCCAACGTTTTCACCAAAATTGGTTTCCTTTTTCCTGCATTTATTTGCGGCGTCACTGTCATAATGCTCTTGGAAGTTATCATTTCGACAAGTGGCAGTCAGCATTACACTTTTTCTGTGTTTCTATGCTTTGCTACACAAAGCATGTGTGCGTGAATTCGTCTTGGTATTTATTTGTCATTATTCTTGTAAGCGTGCTTGTGCGGTACGCCATCTTTCTCTTCCGTTGCCTTCCTACCACAATCAGTTTCTGGGATTTCGTTCGCTGGTTTGACTAATTTTTGTCATCCATGTACAGTACCTGTCTTTCCTGTACTTGTGTGTGCGCCTTCGATAACGGAAGGGTATTATATCCTCGGAAGAATTTCTTACGTCGCATGTTACGTTATGCAGCTCCGTTGACAAAGTACTACTGATCCACAGTTATGGCTTTATATTTAGACTGTGTGCATTTTCCTCCGAACTTAATGTGGAATTTAGGCATCTTGCGTTTGTCAACGTCTCACACAGCTTTGATGCATCGCCATACTGGGGGAACTTTTCCATCATCCCTGGTCCACGGTTAAGGGCTGTAATCAACCTCAGGGCGAAACTGCGTGCTAGCCTGAAGAGAGACCGCAAAGCCTGGTGGTCTCATCGTGCATCGAAGATGGAAGTGGCTGCTGCCCCACGTAACCATCAGAAGTTATTTCGTCTGATACACGAAACAGGCCGGATACCTGGTGCTAACGGGACCGTGCATGACGAGAGTGGACAGCCAATCTACAGATTGTGAAAACGCTTTAGCTTTGGACCAAACATTATCTAGAAGCCTTATCAACCAGAGTTGCCGACTTCTCCATGGGCCGTCCCCCTTACCCACCTTCACCCACAGAAGTCAAACGTGGGATCAGACCGTTAAAAGTGAATAAGGCTGCACGAGCAGATAGATTTCTTCCATCTCTCTTCAACTTCGGGGGACCTGCTCTTGTAGATGATCTGCACAACTTATGAAGCTGTGGGAGCAGGAAACTGTTCCAGCAGGCTGTAGCCGCTCCGTTATAGTCCCAATTTTAAAAGGGCTCACTTTCCGAATGCAGCAATCATGATGACATCAGTCCGATTTCACTTGTCGTTCTTCGTAGACTTGCTGGCACCCGTGAAAGCCAGGTTCGTGGGGAGTATGCCGGATTTCGTCGGAGTCGTGGCTTTACTAATCACATCCACATTACACCAATTGTTGGAGCACCGCCTTGTTTATCGGCGAGCCACCGTAGTCGTGTTCCTCGACACCAAAGGTTGATCGATGTGCCCTTTGAGACTGTTTACACAAGCATTGTGTGTTCTAGAAATATGTAAATGTCATAAGAGCGCGGTACGCGCATAGTGAGGGCTTAAGGCAAGCTGTCGTCCGCATTCAATATTTCCAGCAGTGTGAGACAGGGATCCCCGCTGTCACCTTTCCTTTTTCACTTCTCCATCGACGAAGTCATGGAGACTACGTTCACTGGACACGATTTGCAAGGCGCGGAACTGCTCCCAGGTGATCGACTTCCTGACTTGGAGTACGCTGACGACATTGCCCTTATCTGTGACAGCTGCCAAACGTGCCAAATAGCAGCAGACAAATTAGCCTCGGTTGTCAGTCGCTTTGGTCTATGTTTTGCACCGTCGAAATGCAAATCCTTTCAAGATTAAGATGGATCTACCCCTGCGGTTACCCTTGTTGGGGATAAGCTTGAAGTCGTCAAGAACTTCGAGTATGCATGCAGCCATATCAGCGCCAAGGGGATGTAACATAAGATCACAAACCGCATAGCAATGGCTCGATGCGCTTTTACCAATCTCCGCTACGTGTTGCGCCGGCGCGATATCACTTTCGCTATGAAGGGTTGAGTTTACCATGAAGCCGAACCTTCAACCCTGTACGGCTGCGCTACCTGGATCATCAAGTTGATAGATATAAAGAGGATACTTCCGTTCGGTTATCACTGACTTCGCAGCTTTACTCATGTCTGGTTGGAGCACCGCGTGAAAAATCAGCGTCTTCGGCGTCGCGTGTTTGATGTAGGAAGAGCGAGTGAACCGCTTAGCTTCATTTTATCACGCACCAGAATCCGATGGCTGGGCCAAGTGTTGCACATGCCAGCACACCGACTCCCGCATCATGCGTTGTTTGCGCGCCCGTGGTCTGGATAGAAGAAGTGAAGGAGAGGTCAAGCGATGACTCGGTCAACAGGAGTGAAATCCCTCACTTCGAAGTTGGCGTCGGTTGGTGTGTGCCGACTGCCCGGCTGGGGTCCGAAGTATGATGAACACGTTTGCTTGGATACACTAGTTGACATGGCAAGGAGCCAACCTCAGTGATGTTTGTATTACGTGTCTCTTTGTCCCTTCCCATCCCGCTTATCTTCTCCCTTCAACCACTATCTCTTGAAGCACAGTATGTTACTAAGCCTTGTGTCATCTTTTGTATTCTCTAATTTTCATTATCTTGCTTTTTCTTGTCTTTGTGTGTTGCGGAACAGTTGGTTGAAGTGTTTCCCACCTTCACCTAATGTGCAATGATGCTGCTGGATGATAAAATTGCCTCAGTGTTCACCTATCTCGTCATGAAACTGCCTTTTGCTCCCATTTTGGGAGGAACTACTTGGTTTTTCAACCTTTGTATCGATATGCATTGTCTGCCATTATCCATCGATGACCCTTCCAGTTCTTCATTAGTCTGCCTATTTCATGCCATCATTCACAATTGTTTTGTTGCCCTGCATGCAACACCTACCTGGAACTGCGTCGAAATTGCCCACTCGTTTCACTGCGAGAGTTTCAAATGTGTCACACCTTGTCTTGAGTATCATCCATAGTGCAGGTTCTCACGAAGTTTACGGTTTATCGCATTTAATTTTTACTCTATGCTATCATCTCTAGTGGAGTTTATATTTCCTCTGTCCACCTTGTAAGCTTTTTAACCATTTTAGCTTTCTCATCTGCAATTTTTCATCTTCTCTCTGCTCACATCGTGATCATTCACTCCTATACAGATACGTTTCCAAAACGGTAGAGCGCCTGCGTACTTGGCTCACAAATTCATTAACGAAAGATGCAACAGTGAGTTTTCCCATCGTCTTCACAGGACAAATAGATGTCGATTTGTTGATTTCACTGTTTTGTTGCGATTCGTTTTCCACTGACGTACCTTCGACATATATGCCATCAAAGCTCTGACATTTATTTCGGAGTTTCCTTTGGCTGACACAGCTTGTTCTCTCTTATCTTACAAGGATTTCCTGCGCGTCACATATACGAAGGAACCGTTGTTTACATTTTTCACTTCGTTATCCTCCTTTTGCCTTGGCTGAATGCTGAACTTGGGAAAACGGTTTATGAATTTTCTTTATCGTTCTATATTTGATGTTTTAAGTGTTCCTTTACGTGATCCAACGCCAACCATTCGCCTCGTTTATCTCCAACCGCTCCGGTTTGACACTTGGAGGAACTCTGGTTTATGTTTATGGAGATTTTTGAAAAATCTCTAGTTAGGCATCCGATTTACTCTCTAATAGAGACCCATGCCACCTCATTACACAGCCTTACTTTATTATCTTCTCTTAGCCAAGAATCCCATAGTTTCCCTTCTACTTAGAGTTCTCACATTGCTAAATCTAGCCTCGACTGCCACTTTACCTAGCGCCGGTTTTTAGCACTTTCGCTTTCGGAACCTGATTGTTGCACCTACTTTTGTGCAATATCCTTACGAAGCAGACAGAGCGATACCACTGGTATTTGGTAGTGTGCTTGATTTAATTCTTTTAAACCGACTTTTTCCAATACGACCAATCGTCAGAATGAGATCGAGGTTTTTGCCCATTCCGTGTACCGGCCCGTGGTCGGAAGGTGAACATGTCTGAATTGCAACCCGGTGGTCACGGGTCCGAGCTTGCGTAGGTGAACGAACGACCTTCGCTCGATTGGTGCTAGTTGCGTGGCGGCATACCGGCCTTTTTATTTTAATCTTTTTTCTCCTCATATGCTTTCGTCTGATTTGGCCTTTATCTCAGCTCTATCTTGACCATTTGGCCAATCGACTCGTTTTCATCTTTGCGACTTTGCAGCTGCACCATACTTTATGAGGCTTGCTTTATCCACTTTTGTTACTTTGTATGGCATCAAGTTCTCATTGCTCGTTCAGCTGTTTTATTATCACGGATTCTTTCTCTGACCTTCCTTGCTATCCACTTTATCATTCCACTCTTAACAGCTCTTAACAGCTGCTACTACTAGTATTGTTACTTCCTTTATCTACTTTTTAATAATCGCGTGCTGTTTTTTAGTTTGCGGGTGCGGTAAATGCGCTTATTTCCTTCTATGGGCATAGCTAATCTTTCCTGCAACGAATGATTCGCTTAGGCTAATCCAACACTTTATCCTCACATTAACAATTGACTTCTCCATATTGAATCAACCGACGCCCCTTCCTGTGATCTTAGAGGCTCCCGGACGGTTGCGAGTCCTAGTACTTTGTCTCCCTTTCATCGTTACAGCAATCGTCACATTGTATTCAATCTGCGTTTTGCATCACTCCAGTTCCCCTGTCAACTGTCACGTCACTGTTTCATTTCCCTGTATTTGTCTAGGACTGGCAGCGCCCCACTGCACCTGAACTTGATGGGTCGTCTTACTATTTCACCGGCCTCCCCGTTCTCGTGATGACTCCTTTGAACGAGATGGTAAGTCGCAACATGATCTAATTTCCATTGCCTTTGTCGTCACAACTATTTGTGTATCCGAGTGGATCCTCTCTCCACAGCATGTTGCTATGTCCCTGGAAATCATGTACAACCCTGCTTACTTTGATGCATTCTTTAGCAGTCTATGAAAATCTACGATTCCATCTCGTTTTACACTTTATTCCAACCGTCCAATTCATCCCATCGCATATATAGATAGGCAAGGGTAATCTTTTGAACTTCCTCGGACGAGCTGTACGTGAGCGTTTCTTGGTCAAGTGTGTGGATCAAATGAGTTTCTTTGTCGGTGAATATGACGGTGAGTACTCTATGTTCACGAGTCTTGTTTCCTATCCTTAACTCCTTCAGTATCTGTCACTTGCCATGTCAAGATTACGTCTTCGCTGAGACTGATACCTACTTTGTGAACGTAAACATTGTACAAATGGATAAGTTGAACACCTATATTGGATAACTTAGTTTCTTTAGCTCAACTCATTTAAGCTAGTCGGCTGTGACCCAAGAAAGGAATTTCAGTGGACCGGCTTACATCTATCTTCGTCATCACAATAGCGATATGTGCCTTACCAACGGGTGAGGGAGTGTGAGAGGGGCGCATGCAGACTTTACTTGAAACGCAACTATCACACAATCTTGTTGTCGTAAGGTGAAAAAGTGCAGCGTGTAGCCGATTGTTCGGGTGTGCGTTCTATTGATTTCCCAAGTGCATCATATCGCATAATGTCTGAGGTGGCCAATTCCAAGGTCCACATTTAGGAGGGTGGGATGCATCGACCCCTCCACGCTCCTAAGTCCAATCCTATTTATTAGCTTGGAGCCGTGCACCGAGATGCCGTGAATCCGGTGACTTTGACACACATCGCCCTTTACAGTAATGGTGGTCACGACCAATAAAAATTCGAGAGGAACGAAAAAGCTTTTAATTCGTCAGCTGGAGTAATCAAAGGTTTGGGATAAGGAAACATGCCTGATCCTCACCCCCCCCCCCGCCGTTCCATTTAGCGGGATCCAGCTACGGCAGACCACACACAAGTAGTCGGGCTGACGAAGCATGTCATCCGCTAGACGCTCGATTATACCTGAGCGAAAGCGACGGGTTGATTCTTGTTCCCGGTGTGTGGTTATCATTCTGTGATCTCTGCGACCGCTCCGCACCACGTTATTGCGTGCCATTCTTCTGACCGATGGATTGATGCCTCGTCGTATCCACACAAAGTGAATCAAAAGGCCACGCGGGCCTTATCTTTCCGCGCATTGATCCCTTCACTGACCTGAACACGAGATCCGCTAACGCTGCAAAGACGCGTGAACTGGTTCTTGACGTCAGCTTACTGTTTAGGCAACATACTATATTTTGAGTGTGGGAATCAGATGGCGAAGCACGCAGCATTGCGCGTCGATCTATCCAAAAGCTACATCACCCTCGTTTCTCAGTCGGTCTCTCGGCAGAACGTCTGGTGTAATAGAAAACCATCCGGGGTCTCGTGATTATTTGGACAAAATGCTCTAAGGGAACTTCTAACTAATGTACTCGGGGGAACATTTTTTGTCTGCTCTTTCTCTGTCTTGGCGATTACAGTACCCAGGGTCCTTGTTTCACGATGACCATCACAATCAATCCCAACTGTTGATGGTCTTTTAGTCAATGAAGATGACCATTACGAGTCTCGTGTGTGTGTGTGTGTGTGTGACACTGGTGACGTAGTCTTTTTGTACGATGACCGTCCTGATTTTCACTCATTTGGCTTTTCTGTGGACCACTGGACCGTTGCTGTATGCAATCAGCGAAGATGGGATTTTTACACGCCCTCTTTTTCCGGACAAATACGATGTTTGTGAATAGCCGATATTGTTAGAATAACGCAAAGCTGCATAGAGCTCTTAGACTAGTTATAATTTTATTATCATTCTCCTTAAACAGCTCTTAGGTGTTTGATTCGCTTTATGTAGGGTCATCCTCTGCATGTGTGGTTTTTCTGTTTTGCAGGGACGATACCTATTTGCTTCGTTTGTGTAAGCATATTCATGTCGTATTAGGAGATTGACGTACTGATATTGAATTTGAGCCTGAAAATGTGAGTGCTACCTGTTTCTCACACCCTGTGTATTCACTTTGCCGATGTGATAGTTGAGTCATGATGATTTTCTTGGTGGCGCACGTTGGCATGGCTGCATTGTTCCTTCGTCATTGCTTGTACCCCACTAGCAAGAAGTTGTCCATTTCCGGAATGTTTGAATTTGATGCGATTACTGTTTCACAGCATAATTTTCTGATGCTTAGCGCATGGTATTCCTTTGTTCCCATGGCTCTGCCAACATACCACAGAAGGTAATCCGCGTCTGTGATGAGAAAAACGTCAACTACCAAGGTTTCTTAGAACTTCGCTGGATGAATACTTCGGTATGAGCGTTAGTGACCTGAGCAAAGTGCCTTGGTTTCTGTGGATCTATCTAATTTTTTAGGCTGTCTGATTGGAATAAGTGTGCCCAAGAAATATGCGATCATCGTCAGAGCGCTTTACGCGCGTACTTCGGGCAGCGTGGGGGCTTATCGCAAACTGTCACTGCAACTCAATAACTTCAACAATGCGTGACAAGGAAACCAGCTGTCATCTTTCTTTCTCAACCTCGCTATTGACGCTATTCGACTTAAAAGGTATGGAGCTGTTTCTCCATTTGGAGTCCGCAGACGATATTGCCCTAATGTGTAACAGTTTGAAAACTTGCCAAACAACGATGGACAGCTTGACACTGACTGCGAGTCTTTTCGTGTTGTGGTTTGTAGTCAAAATGCCAGGCTAGCCCGGAGGACCAACCCTAACTCTGTATCTTGGTGAGGCAGTTATGCTGTTTGGGCTGCAATATCAGCGCATGTGTACTAAGAGATGAGACTACATATGACACAGCAAATGGGTCATATCGCTTTTGCTAACCCTTGCCACCTATGTTATTGGCGCGACTTCTCGCTAACCTTAGAGGGTCGGATCTACCTTCCTGCCGTCAGTTCAACTCTCCTGCACGGTTGCGAACCGTGGTCTATCAGACAGAGCGAATCGTTGCGTTCGACCACTCGTGCCTTCGGTAACTTGTTTATGGCGCACAAACAGCAAGTGAACTGCTTTGCACCGCTATTTCATGTGCCAACTTCTGATGATTGGTCAATGCGTTACGCATAACAGTACATCGGCTCCTGCGGCGTGTGCTATTTGCGCGATATGCACGGTATGGATGAAAGAAGAGAAGGAGAATGAGGACTTGAATGGAACTTGGCCTCAACTGCCGGACTGAGACCCGCCCGAAAGACACTGAACACATTTGCTTGGAAGTGCCAGTTAACGTAGAGAAGACCCCACTTCAGTAGTGCTTAGAATGTGTCTTTCTTTGTCCCTCCGCATCAAACCACAGTCTGCTTTCGACGCATGATAAACATTAAGCATACTGTCATTTGTATTTGATTTCTGCGATCATTTATTTGAATTTTCTTGTGGCACAATAGCTGCGCTTCCTACACCTATCTAATGAGCCTGGGCGCCTATACCTGAGCATACTCGCTTGATGACAACAATGTGGCACTCACAGCGATCGCTGGCTCCTGCTTAGTAAATAGTCCTATAACCCATATGTACAACGCGTAGGCGTGTGTCTGATTCAACGGTATGGTGATCCAGTTTAAACAATTGGCTTAGATGGGGTCCACTTCTTGGACTTACCCATGAGCCTGCTTCAATTGGTTCCTGGTTGGTTCCTTAAGCTAGTTTGGAAGTATAAAGCGTAGTCTTTGTGATGTGTGTGCTGGGGCTGAGTAAAATTTAGCGACTTGATGCACAGCTGCACGGATGTTTGTTTGCACTTGCACACTGTTTGTCAACGAGCCCGAAGAATGGACCAATGAAGAACACGAGGCTATACAACGATGCAATTGTCTGATTTGCCATTGCGCGCGTGTTTACATGTGCGAAGTCAGATCTACAAGACAATCGAAAATCTTGGTCGGTAGTCTGATAGCGAACAAGTGAACCTCTCGTGTTAACATCCGCTCCAACTCCCCAGGTACTTTTTGCTCTTCTTGGAACATTCCGCTTAGCCTTTTACCCTTTAGAACATAGTCGTACTCGTTATAAAGACTATAGAATTTTCAAGTTTATTACCGAGTCTTGCTACATCCTCGCACGGGTTGTTCGTGTTTAGTAGCATGTTCCTTAGAACGACGTATCCGACTAGGATGCAATCAAATTGAATGGTTTAGTGGCACAACCATTGTATCGCGTTTCCTGCGAAGCACTCATCACGACTGGAATCGTATTGAATTGATGTAATTATTCTGGTGTGTCAGATTACATAGTATCATCATTCCACCGATGGGGTTTGAGCAAACGCTGCTGACAATGCTCTCAACAGCTCAAATTGTAAGCTTCCCTGAGCAGTCACTGTTTTTATTCCTCTTGAAATAGTAAGTGATATTACGGTTTTAGAAGACGACGCGTTTGTGATATTATAAGAAAACTTGCCTTTGGTAGGTTTTTGATTGGATTTCCTCGAGTGTATTTTCTGTAGACATTCCGGCCTGAGCTCTATTTGACGCTGGGTTTTTCAGAATTGTTGCAGATGAGGGAACATCTTATTCTAACTTCGCTTGTAGGCAACTATACTCAGACGTGTTCATTGTTCAGTCCATTTGATCCTTCTGAGATCATCCGGCGTGTTCATATGCTTTCTTCAATTTTCAGCCTAAAATCTAGTCGTCGGTGCGTCCCTCGAAATATGTTGGTTTTCTATGGACAGTAGTATGTCCAAATACTCATCTCCTTGATGTTTCTCGGTATTCTTACTGTCGTTGACGAATAAAACTAGTCGACCATGTTCGCTGAATTTAATCCTGCTGTCGTTGTACAGCAGGATCTGTCTGACGTCAGTCGCAGTTCTTTTAATAGAAGCACCGGCTTTCCAGTTTGGGAAGTACCAAGCATCCCTGCTACTACTCAGTGCCTTAGGAGCAGAGGCTTCGGATTTCACCTAAACGCCTCCATGTTCAAGTCGCTGCGTTACCACTTGTCGAGTGCAATCAGACTACGAAATCGGTCACGGAGTGCAGTGTTTTCGGGCAGGCAACATACAGCACCTCTGGCTAGATGATCTGAGCTAACCAATTCTGTAGTGTAATTCAGTTACTGCACTTGACGATATGTACGGGGTCGGTCGATTACCGACAAAGCTGTATTGGCTTGTTTTTCAGTAATCTCGAAGAATTGGTACACTTCAGACCACTCTTCTTGATGGCTTTTTCACATTCTGCTCGTTATGTGAATGCATCGGATTGATGTGTTATTACCGATTTTCTGCTCGAAACTAACATGGCGAGAATACGGAAAATAACTAAATTCAAGGGGCAACATGAAGTGTCCATGGTAGTGGCCCGTGTCCACTGCGTCCTTTATTCATTAAACGCTACATACTGACCTTTAGGAATCCTCTGCTTGTTTGGCTCCTCCTCTATTAGAGGTATATCTTAATCTTCTCTCGCCCTCATCGCTGCTGATCTTTATCTGCTAGTGTCACTCTCACCTAGCATTGCATTATGAAGGCATTTCGCTACTGTGCTTATGATGACAAGGCTACAGATGCGATATGCCCTCTGTTTCCGGGTTATCGCATTGTTGTCTCCGTCACTGCTCAGGCGAACTTTGATGGGCCATGTAACATTTACATTTCCCTTTCTGGAGCCACGTCAATAATCTCCTCGGTTTGAACGCGGATCGTCGTAAGACAGTAGTATTCTCGGGTTTGGGTCTACGGGAGTAGTATTACCTTGTGTTTATGCGAGTTATTTGATATTGTCTCCTACGGAACCCATTTTGTTGGATCCAACTGCTGCTGCCTATTCTCTACCGTTTTTTGGAGTTATTTTACACACCTGGTTATTCCACACAATTCATGCATATGTTGTCTATATACGCTATCTATTCTACTTCAAATTGTAACACAACTCTGCGTATTTTTCAGCTAAATTAAAGGAGTACCACGTTGCATACTTACAAGACCGCTCACGATTTCGATTCTATATTGAGTACATGGTGAGTTCTGCTTAATTATTACGTCCTTAAATCTGGTTCTGATACGCTAGCGTCGTTTGCTTTTGTTTGAATCAGCGCGACTGGAAGTCTTCTCAACCCGCTGACGCTTCCGGTTCGTTTCCCGACTCACCATGTTAACGTCCTAATAAGCGCACACACCATGTACTCAAGTCTTGCACATCTCCTGCGCTGGTCTCATTCCTCTCGATCTTAGTGCTTGACAAGCGGCAATATCTGTTCTTATGCAACTCGTGAGGAGCTTCTCATGGTTTCGTCCAAACGCCAGCACTCATTGCTCACTTTCCGGTCTATCTCAACTGGCAAGTGTGTAACAGTTCCTTCTTAGGAACATTGGTTTTATAATCCTCCTTTTCGCATTCTTCTCGATACTCCCAGGTATCCAGTTTCCTCCAGCTCGTTACCGATTTTTCCTCCATCTTCTTTGTTATAGTTGAATTCGCTCACACTTTTTGAAGGCAAGGGTTCATTTACTCTCGGTTTGTGTTGCGCAAGTGCCGATGTAAAAGCCCATATGTTGCTCAGATCGCTTACCTCTCTATGTGACCTGGGTCCTTACTCAGGCTCTCTTGAATCGGTTAATTTTAGAAAATAGTTCCTTTTTAGGCTCATCTTCTTACCTTGCTCGCAAACTCCCATGTGTGTTGCCATATTTTTCAAACGATCTCCGTGCGCTCGTCTATATTGATTTTCTACTGATAAGCCACAAATATCGCTGCCCATCCTGTGTTCTTTTCCCGCGCGTTTGAGATGCATTTTTCACACATCGGACCATTTGTTTCCTTACAGCTTGCCAACGCGAACAATGCGGTCGTGATTGCGGACAGTTTTATTTCCGTGATGATGGAAGAGCTGACTGAGGAAGTACAGCTCAAGGGGCGCTTACAATCTGAGGTTAACCTTCTGAAAAATCAGTTTGGCGTCGTCGCCGACCATTGGTACGTCTCCGTTGGTCTCTGCATCGTTCTTTATGCTGTGTGGGCAGACCGTATCGCAAAGTGATTCAGTTTTAACGGGATGTGGTGGACCATACACCTCTGTGCTCCACGCTAGTCAGCGTTTACCAAATGCTCTGAGAGCCTTCACACCACCTCGATTTCAGTATCCTCTTCACTGGAGACTGGGGAAATGTCGATGGTGCTGTCCTCTTAAAACTTCAGCACGAGCAAAAATAGCTTGCTAGTTGTAAACTGAACACTGACCTTCTGATTTGCTTTCGACTACCTCATACCACTCACTCGTCACCATTGGGATAATAACACGAGACAGAGCGTGCTTGCCAGCACATAATATACCACGATGGCAAACGTTCATGAATTGTTCCAAATACTCTAGGAATACAATGGTGATTGTCTTCAAGCTGACTTCACTGGCACTCCGCACCCACACACTCGAGCTAAACGTGTTCATCACTGCCTTGCGGTGACTGATTTAAAAAGGTAGCTGAGATGCCTTCGACGAAACCCCTATCTCGGAACCGCCAGTCGCTGAGTGCAATATGTTCACTAAATTCACTCCACAGTGACTTTTTTCCTCCTTCTCCTCGCCCTTTACCTTCCACTTGTTTGCAGTTTCACCTCGCACTTCTAGAAAATCTATAGGGTCATGTTGTGCTTTTTCTGCTTCAGTGTATATTCCCACTAACTGTGGTTCGAAAACCATCAGAAACGTGTTATATACTACTCTTTCTAAGTCCACAACTTGCCTGTCTAAGGGTACGGATATAATGATATTTGCTAGTGGCATGAGTGCTCAACTGCGCTGCTCATCAGACTCCAAAAGGAGCTTTGGAGGCTCTTTTGCTGATCAACAATTCTCGTTCGAGTGATGGGGATCGGTTTCTCTGGCCCCGTATCGGCCACAATCCTCGTGTTTGCAAGCCTTCTCTTCATTACGAACTTTTACATCATCTTACTTGGCACCCGTTGAACACCGCACATTTTCCTCACTTGCAATGACGCATTTCGGCGCACAATTGTTGACTCACCTGGAATTCATATCTGGCTTCCATTTGGAGCACTTGAATCGACCCGATCATGCATTCTGACACGTTCGCCTCTTCGAAACGCCCAACTTTCATAATCTCTGGCCGCGTGAATGCATGCACCTCTGTCTGTCCGTGCTGGAATGAGGTCTATTACTGGCGAGCCAAATGAATGGACTGAATAACGAATCTACACTGTGAAGCACCAAAGCACACCACATACACATTCACTGTTATTCTTCCTAATAGTAAGCGTTTTTTAATTACCCACCAGCATATTCACACGAATACGATGCTTTCCTATGGTAACGGGTTTTAGAGCGTCACCAAGATGTAGCAGGATTGATCGAATTGTTGATGTATTGGGTGGTGGCAGGGCAAAAGCCAATGTACGTAGGGAAAGTCGTGTACTATTTCAACTCACCTAAACCACTGGTGTGAGGAGGCACTGGGTTGTCAAAGTCATAGGTGTGATAGGTGAAGGGCAGTGCTGCAAGCCTGTGGTACCACTTTCATTTGGAACAAATTCGTGTTCTCTGGCTCCGATGTGGACTACAAGGCGTACACGGTACAGCGAAATCGCTGCAACAACGCGAAAATAAAATATCGCAGAAGTTTCGAAGAGCAGCTTGCAACGGCCGCAAAAACTGCTCCCAAGAGAATCTTCGCATAGGTGAAGCGGCGCCTGAGGCCTGCAGCCAATGTCCCAGTGTTAGAAGGCTCAGATGGACAGCCCCTAACCTCGAGTACAGATCGTGCGTCCGCATTGGCGGCGCACTTCGCCTCCGTATTTGCAAGTGACCGGGTGCCTGTAACGAGTTCAACGATTACCGCTCTCGCTGAACTTGACAGCCTATACTGCAGTATTGAGGATGTACGCAGGCCTGGGACGAAGCCTGCTGGGCCAGATGGAATCCACCCACTGATTCTCAAGTCCCTATCGGCCATCATCGCGCCTTCTGTAACTGAGATGTTCAACAGCTCACTATCCACTGGACTGTTACCGGGCGACTGGAAATGCTCAGCGGCACTGGACAGATTAGCACAGCTGTCCGTCACTTCGGGCTTTCTTCACA